CCCCCAAAAAAAAAAAAAAAAAGAGTGCGACTAAGAACATTCTCGCTTGATTTTTATTGCCATGAAAAGAAAATAGTACATAGTGTTTGATGGATTCATTAGCATGGTGCCCATTCTCCAAAACCTGTACGCAGGTCAATAAGACAATAGCATAAGATTTGAGAAAAAAGAATATGACACTGACAATTTCCTTAACAAATCAATCAAACCTTAGTAGCCATATGAGAAGGATTGTCAGACACTCCTTTAGCAGCGGATAACAAGGTTTGCTGCCGAAGAATTTTGTTCTCAGATTCCATGTCAGAAATTTTTTCTTCTAGCCTATCGATACAGAAGAAAAGTAATTTTGCAACAGAAATAAAGCAAATACTTCTGCAATTCTTTTAAAATAAAAAAAGAGTACGATAAAAATGAGATGTGATTTAACATCATTCACCTGTTCATATTGGTTTTCAGCTTAACAATTATCGATTCTGCTTCCATTGCCTGTTTCAGCCTCTCCTCACTAAGTTTACTAGTCTCTTCGTATTTCTTCGCGGTTTCAACTATTTTTGTTTCTAGAGAGCTTACCAAGGCCTGATGCACGAATATGACAAAAAGAATAGAAAAAATACAGTCACAACATATGAAAAATTATCTGTGAACACACACACACACACACACACACACACACATATATGTATATATGAAATCCCTAAAAATATCGCCAGCATGCCTTGAGTTTTTCGTTTTCAGCACTAAGCTTATTCGTCATTTCATGATCGACAACGGGAATCTCCTGTACAACAGGGGCACGCTCAGCTGCCATCTTTGCAGCTTCCCTTTCCTTCAACAGCATGTCTTTAGACTCTTTGAGCTGAAGCTGAAGATCTTGTAAAGCAGTTTGCAATTTTGTGTTCTCTTGAGTTTTTGCTTCTTCTAAGTCAGTCTGCAAATATAAAATATATGTGAGATAATCCCTTTCAACACTCCTAGAAAGTAAGTGAAATTAATATGGATGATTATAAAAACCCCACTGATGTTAGTCACAGGAAAAAAAAACAGAAAAAAAAAACATCAACAACAAATACTTTAAGCTTCTAAAATGTCAACATAGCCCTTTGAGGTATTACAAACACCACCTTGAGATATGTACTTATTTTCCCAACACAACATTGAACCTAGATAGAAGGGGTATTTATCATTATATTTTTGAAATATAATAATGTCCTTTTCCTTGAGATAAATTGTAAGGGTAATATTTGTAATTATGCAAATGAATACTCCGTTTTAAATATTCATTTATGTGATCTGACCTTACAAGAAGATTGTAGGTCCCCCTATCTTTGTATAATACACTAATTATCTCAGTTCAGTGAGTCTAAATCATGCAAAAGCAAATTTACCTTGGTATGCATATACAAGAAGAAACTAAAAAGGATTAGAAGTAAAAAAAAAAAATGAAAACTCAACTCCCTAGATCAAAAAGCATTATGAACCAATCCTTCAGCTAACAGGGTTCAGAAGTTTTTTACGGGATAACTTACTCTCATTCGTTTCTCAAGCTGCAACCTCCAAGTCAATTCTTCAACTTGCTTCTCTAATTTATTCTTTGCAGCTTGCAGGGCACCAGTTTCTCTCGCGGCCTGTGTTTTAAAAGGAGGTGAGAAAAAGCCATATGCAGCCGATAATGAAATAATATTTACACATTCTAGATAGTTCGACTAATTTTCAAAAACCAATTCACAAACCATTAATGAAATTTCCGCTCATTCTCAACCTTAATAATATTATATATAAAAATGCATAAAGTGAAAGGCTTAGGGTGCAGTTTCCAAGATCTACATCTATTTTTCACTTTTGCAAGAGAATAGGGACAAAGCTTTATTGCAAAGAGTAATGAAGGCAGAGAGAGAGAGAGAGAGAGAGAGAGAGAGAGAGAGAGAGAGATGACCATCTTGAGAGTACGCAGCTCTTTACGAGCAACTCTGCCCCTCCATGCACATTGTGTAGTGATTGCGGCTTTCTGCAGCTTCACATATTCCAAACGAGCCAAGAGCTTGCGGCAATGACTCTGCCACCCATTCAATTAAATTTATGCCATCAAATTTTATATTTCAAAATAAATTAGCTTTCGTGAACAAACTAATCTAGTTTCCGAAGAATAGGGGAGTAAACAAAAGTACCTGGATTACAATTGCTGCTCTCGTCTGTCGTCTAAATCGAAGCTCATCACGAGCAGCCATCCCGCGCATTCCTGTCTGAATTGAGACAGCTGATGAGCATAGTTCTTTGTATGCTTTCCTAGAAAGATACATTCGCAGTTCTGTTTGTATCCTGAGACAAGCAGCCTCTCGCCGCATGCTTTCGTAAACATGCCTGGTAAGTTCTCCTGAAAAAAACAAAAAAAAAAACAAAAAACAAAATACGAGTTACGATCCCGATATTATATGTTTCCCTCCAGATCACACAGATAGGTCGATAGTTATTTTATGCAGATTAAGAAAAATGTTAAAATATTTGTATTTTTGTTCATACCAATAAGGCTAATTTAAATTTTATCCATTCTCTACTCGAAATTTTGTAACAACCAATCTATATCTATATAATTACTAGCTAATAACATTTAATAAAAACCTATTTAATTTTACCTATGTGGCAATTTA